CGTCCATTTCATTTTATTTCTTGCAGGTTAGAAAGAAACAGGAGACGGGGGGGGGGGGGGGGGGGGAGAGAGAGAAGAGAAAAATGATGAGGACCAAAGTGCAACGAGTCACCGTTCATGCTGACGATGGCGAAACACTCCTGACGCCGTTGACGTCAAAATTCGATTTTTCTGTGTAAGCGTGCATTCCCTCTATCTGAGCATTTTCGGCCCTAACTCAAAAGGTTGTCCGATCCCATAATTCACGTACGTTCTCCTCATAGGAACCCTTCAGCATCCTCTACTAAAGGCTGTTCTACCTTTGAATTGCCATTAGTTTCCGTTTTCCTCAGTAATCGTGTCATGTTGAACGATGATGACTAAGTATGAGGAGGTGGAGGAGGTGGCAGCGGAGAAGGCGAAAGTGCATGTCGAGAGAGCCAGCTCATTCCGGTTATGCCTGACGTCCGAATACAGCATTTGGTTAAAATACCCGCCTTTGTGAAATGTTGTACTATGTACTGGAGTGATTCATTGATCAATGAAAACGTGGGCCAGTCTGAGCAAATAGAAAAATTGTTTTATAGTGAGAACTGCGAAAACGCAGAGCAATGAAGCAAAATGCAATCCAACCGGTCAGAATTGCCTTTGCTTAGATTCGTGCAATTCGTACAAACAGAACAGCGGCCGGCCAAGGCTGCACAAAATATCACAGAAGGAACATAATAGCAATAACAGTAAGAATATTGAAAATAGTTTAAATAAGATTGAATTGGCTATCCAGAAAAGCGTTCAGAACCAGGAAATTAAGAAATTAATAAAAATCTTAACAAGGTTTTTTGTCATGTTTCCTTTGCACACAAGATTGCATCAGAACTTCCACCAGCATCAGAAATTGAACGGAAGTGAAGAAGGGCGATGTGTTCAGCGTCGTTCTGCTTCTATCGTGCTCCACTCACAAGATCTTTGGAATCTCTAAATTCACACACGAAATTACTATACTGAAAGGCCCTATAGTGGGATTCTCCAGAGAAAAACACCACCAACGTGTACGCGGCGCATTTAAGGTCATCTAGCGAATGGATAACTAAGGACGAGTATTGTCCAACACTGACGTTACCATGCTCTAATGACAATGGATTGGCTGGGCATTTGTCAATGTATGCTCCCTTCGACTGGTGCTCAAACAGTAACACTCGCAGAATTCATGTGTTCCAATGAATTTCTATTCTTAAAGTGAAAACCGAACATGGATGTTTGTAAAAATAGGAGTAGAAAAAGTTTCAGTTGAGGATTAAATTCCTGTGTTCCTACAGAAATGGCAATGACGGTCACAGCATGTTAGCGCGACGCAATGTAGCGACAGACAGACCAGTTTGGTTGCCATAACTCGCTCTGTCGCCAAGTGAGTGCTGCGTTGTTGCCCCGCACGCGCCGCGTGTACGCCGCCATGCGTGATGTGTCACTGCCGCCGGAATCGATCTTTTAGGAGGCATAAGTTCTGCGCAGTCAGTTCAATGTGATCGCTCCTAGTTCACTAATGGCTATCTTCTACGATTTGTATTCCGAGTTACAACCATATTTCAGGCAAATCGGTCCCTCTTTTAATTACTGAAGTTCTCGTCTATAACCATGTATGGTACCTTATACCAAATATTTAGTATCCAGTAGAACCAGCTTTTCGCCTCCGTATCCGCCTCAGTGGTTAAGAAAATATCTCCCAACTGTTTCTATTGGTAAGAAGTCCACATGCAATTCATAAGGGTATTGACGAGTGTGAGCGCAGCTGGGATTTGATCAGCGATATATTCAAGCCATGCGCCTTCGAAACCTTCAAGCTGCTGATAGCTTCGAGTAGTTCATGAGTGGGTAGCTCAAGAGTAGTTATGGAGTTCATCCTTCCTATAAGTTATGAATGAGTTGCTTGCTCTCTAGATTTCAAGGTTACACCAGGTCGGTGTAGCCTGTTAAAACTAAATAATTCCAGTTTGATGGAGGTGGTGTAGTGGCAAGCGACGCACTGCCAAATAGGCAAAGTCACTGGTTTGAATATTGGCTCATTATCCGCCTTGGTAAACCGAGCCTTCTATCCCTCCGTCTGAGAGGATAAAAGCACTAGCGGGCTGACCATACCATGTCTTTGGGTAGGTCAGATTCAATACGCCATACGATTCTGAATGGAAGTGGTATACGGGGCGCATCCCTCAATGGGATTGATTGACATAGGGTTTTATCTTCTTATCTTTTTTTTTTAATGAAAAAAGCTAATCGCTCGTGAGTTCATACTTTCTCCAAGACTTCGCCCCACAGCTTTCCAGAAGAATCCAAATTTATTCCAATGCCTCTAGAACATGAAGGAGCTTATGTTCGATCCGATCCTGAGTGTGCTATTGAATACTCATCTCGATCTTCTTCGATAAAATGAGCTCATAGCGAGGGTTCTACTAGATATTCCACCAGAATCGAGTTATCATAAGCTTCTATTGAGCTCCACAAAATTACTAAGCAGAAAATACCAATAAAGCGGCTCAAGCCATTAGCTAGGAGGTCGTAGAAAGGAAATGGATCCAATCAATACACGTTATTTGAACTACAATCTAAGAAGCCGCACTGTTGCAAAACAACGTATTACTACTAGTTCTAACATAAGATAAAATCCTTCCAATTTAATACATCATTGGTAATTTTGACTGAATTTCAATGGAAAAACAGTTGAAAGTGTTTCAATCATGAAGCAAGCTCACGTTTGAAGCCGAGTCTAAGAAGCACTCGACTAGCTGGATTCGGCCTGAGTCCATAAGCCACTTCCCCAGCTTTCAAAGCGATTGTTGAGATAATGCATAAATTCTCTTTTTTCTACATTGTATCATTTAAAAGTTTAACAGTATTTTCAAAGTAGCTTTGTCACTTTCAGAAGCGAATTCTGATTCGATTTATCGTATTACATGGAAGCCGTATTCCCCATAAGTCTCTTGTTGGGTGGGCGAGTGAATTTCATAGATTAGTTTAACGGGATTGTAGACTGGTGATCTATCTCTTTGCTGTTCTTACTAAAAAGTAAATGAAGGTTAAGTAAAGGTTAGAACGAGTAACATCGGTTAGGTATTGTTGAATGGCTCCTTTCTTCCAAATTAATCTTGCCCCTCATATCTGTACAGTTGACGGCGCTTCTAAACTCAATAAATAACAACAACAACTACTACTACTATGGTCGATCATGCAGTAGTTTTACTGCATGGAAATTCTCAGTAAATCTGAAGAAGCTGTCCCATCCATAATTGCTAATACCTTTCTATTACAGCCATGACACTGAGTATGTAGTAACTCAGTAAACCACTAATTTTCAGGTAATCCTTCAAAAGTTGCAGCATTTCAACTTAGTAACTCTGAGGTACATAGCTGTCGTATCTATGGAGGTTGTTAATAATTCTCGATTACAGCTACAATCGTGAGTAACTCAGTAAATCAGGTATTATTAGGTAATCGTGAAAGTTTCAGAATTACGACGTTTTAATTCACTAAAATCAAAAGGTGCGACAGGTGTCGTTTCGTTGAGATTTGAAAACATTCCCTTTACAGTTCAAGAATACGCGAAACGTCAAAGAATACGCACCTCTCTCTGCAGCGCTTTTCAATTTAAATATGATCGCTCTCTGTGATGTACAGGGCTGCAATACGTTACACTGCCGTTTGCAAATGAAGAGATTAACGATTGCAAGGGGAGGATTGGTGCATAACAACAGCACTTCATGAGCTTTATTAAGTTAATCATAATGCCTGGCGTACAGGTGAATAAATAGTGAAAGAATCCAGAACGCCGAAAAATATCTCGTTGTCATGTGCTGTCACGTCAGCATCGTGTCTTCTACGTCTTTTTCACGAACTCCCTTGTCCACGTCGCTTTCTTGCCATTATTGGATGCTTCGCATTCCTGAAACAATCAGTGACCTTACCAAAATAATTACCATCCCAGCACGATCTTCAATGACAGTACAGCACGTTAAATTGTTGGACCTCTCCGGTCAATCAACCACTGCCCCACATCCCCTTTCTGAAGATAGATGAATAGAGCGCTAAGTGGTGGCACGTCATGCGATCTGTTGGGGCTAACACGAACCCCCCATGAAAAACAATGAACACGTGCATTCTCGTAACTTTTGTGGTGGGGTGACTAAGTTGAGGAAGAAAGTGATGAGCCAACGGACTACAGGAACACTGGACATCACTATGTACCTCACAGAACAGGTACGCACCACTTTGACAAGTACAATTAACTTCAAAGCGACCACGCCAATAGCCCATCACCAGCGGCGGTAATTCAACAGACGGGGAGCAAACAGCAACGAATTGAGTGGGGAATTCAGCGATCAAAAAACAGAGCGTTCGTGCGAAAACAATGTGCGTTCACAGACATTACTATTCTGACGGGATGGAATCGGAATAGTGTTCGAAAACAGCGTAGAAGTAGGAAAGGGATAGAGTTGTATCGTAGTCCACACCAAAAAAGTTTTATATCTGGCCTCTCCGGATTAGGGACCAGGACCTTAAAGGTAAAATTTAACTTTATACTATTTATCAAAGTAATCGTTAGCTTTCTGAGCAGCTTAGAAAGTAAGGATTCGCAACCGGACTGGAAATTTCCCAGCGTTACATACTCGATTCAGTCGCAGCCGTTACGGGGGAGTGATGAGAATGTCGGACCGGGAAGTATCGAGTAATGAGAAACCGGGATTTAGGAGATGCTCAGAGGAGTACATTCCTTAGTTTTTTTTCCGGTTCACCATGACAGGCTATTCCTTGAAAGCAAAACAGTAAAGTTCAAGAGCATCTGATATTACTCATTTTGTTAATACGAGACATTAATCTCCTTGTACCTTGTAAGACGGAAAAAGCAAGCGGTATGGGACTAATCTCCGTAGGGTTATGATAATCTGAATCAGACGCCCTAAGTTTAGTAACTAGGATAGCTTCTCAATGATAATCCATTTTTACTTTTCATCCTGCTATTAAGGCGGAACATTACCATATGGGCGAAATATGGAGTGATAATCATTAATACATTAATATTCAGGTATTTGCTCTCTTTGAACTTCAGTGCAGATGCGCCACATTTGCAGAGCTCGACTATGATTGGTGGATTATCAGCGACAACCAATCAGAGGCGTAGCTTTCAAGGTCATGATTAGAAGCGGCCAAATATGTATTTGTGACCACAACGAAAAAAATTCGATGTAAACGTCCCAATAGCCTTAGCCAATACCTTAGTAGCCAATACCCCTACCTAGTAGCAAACATTAACCAATAATTATAAATTATGATTAAAGTTCGACACTTGTGCGATGATGATTTAACTTGCATCGTCCTCTAAAAGTTCCGGACGCTGTTTGACTTTCGGATTGTTCGAGACCAGCCATCGCGTATGATCGTTCAATGTGCGAAAGCATACGGAATGAGCGGAATCAATCAGTATGACGAAAAACTCAATGCAGTGAAGTGCTCAGGTGGAACTTCCCCGTAGTAGAGCGACCACATGATGCAATGCAACTAATTTTACACAGTGAGCTCAAACTTAGCACATTCCAATCCGCTTTTAAAACAAACCTTCGACTATCAAGTCATTAGAATGAGCCTTTTATGGAACATCTCACATCATACAAGGCCGTTGAGATCAAGCACTCACCGAAATCAAAATGCCATCTCGGAAAAAGTAGTAGAAGACATCCTCTCCGATATCACGTTCGAGATTAAGATGAGCCTCTTTCACCTTGTCACCTTCGACGCTTATTGTTATCTGAAAAGGACATTTCTGGAATACGTTAATAGTGCCCTTTAAATAGTGCATAAGCTCAGTTCAAGGAAGTCCACGACTAACAGCAGCCTCCTTGAGAACGCCGATTACTCATTATTGAGTCATAACGAGCAGGTGTGAGCCTCTAGCATTCGGAAAAAAAATCGGAGTCTCTCTAGGATCTAGCGAAGTATGGCCTGTTTCTGAGCATTTGGGTCAACCCCAATTGATTACATGGAAAATTGAGCTCATTATAAGTCAGAAGCAAAAATAAAGTCATTCGCCATCGATCGATATGCACCACACCCATAGAGAACTCGACCGACCAGTGTCGCAGTTTGCAATTTCCAACACGATCCAGACAACCTCCGTGCCATCCACAACACCAGCGGATGAATAAAACATGTCATGGTAAACAAAATCCCTAATTCCGGCACACGATGGTCATTACAATTCATCACTGAGGATATGTTTCTCCTGCTTTCGTCTCTAGTACGGCAGTATGGGCCCCTCTTAGTCTAGAAGCCCATCTCAATAGACATTCGCGTCAGCGGCTAAAGTTAAAAATTTTCATATTGGGGCTGGGCATGGGCATAATAATTATATTCTAACTCGGAAAATTTTCTATCGGAGACCCGACGAAAACTGTTTCCTATTTCATCTGAATGCTTAGAGTGCATGGGTAGTAGTGATAATCGGGTGTGGTGCTGTAGGAACGAAATTTTCGCGTCGCGGCGAGAGAAACGCCGCACGCGATGGAATCTAGCAGAATGCAGCGGCAAGTAAGAAACCAGGAACAAAAGAAGTAACGGTAGAATCATGCCAAAGTAATAATCGCATAGCGGTTGAGCTGAGTGAGAAGAACGCTAGAACTGTCATAACGAGGCAAATGGTTCGCGACAGCCTCTTGCGGCGGATCGATTACACAAAACCGTTCCTACTGCCCGTCTCCCGTGATAATCCACTAAAAGCACTTGTTTCTCTACGTGTATCTAAAAAGTCGATCGGGAAACGAAATCGGTGAAGAAATATTTTTGATTAGGGAGCGGACGCCTACAATGCTCTGAAGGCTCTAAAAATGTGGATTACAATTGTAAAGGAATCGATCCGTTGTCATTCGTTTCGATTAAGAAAACTATGTTCTTCCTGATATTTTCCATGCAGTATGACTGACGATAAGGACCCGTCGAAAGTGCTCGGTAAGAAACACAAGAGCTATCTGCTACCCTCTTCCCTATCCTGTATGTAGTAATAACTTATTCGCAGTCTTTTTCCATCACTTTACAAGGATCTGGGGAGGAAAGCGGGCACTCGGAGAAGTGCCCACCTGCAATTCTGATGACGATGATGACTTGTATGCTCTAGTCCTTCTTTGCACTTTTAGTTTCTCCTTATCGTATTCCAATTGATAGTCGGTCCCTCTGACCACGTGGTATCCATAAACATTGCACTTGTAGTATCTGCATTGAAGAAGGGGGCAAAACGATGTAGGAACCTTCCTGGACCCTACCATCCATCCCCCCCCCCCTAACCCTTCCCTGGTCAGTTGATGCGAGCTCCGTACTAACGAACTTGTTTACTTACCCACCGAAGTATGTGCTTTACTCTGCTGACCTTATGAGATGCCACCAATTCAGCCTTATTCTGATGAGCAAATTTATTTCAATATAACACAAAGGGCAAGCCCAAATCCACTTACTGTTTCGAAATGTTTCCTGACAGCCCTCTGCTTTTGATGAAGTACCTTCATGTACACCGTCACTCATAGATCGAACTGTTTGGAAGGACTCCGACCTTAGGACGCAAAACACCAATTGCCCTTCCAACCAGGCAGACAGAACCGTTCAACGAATTAGTACAAGTTCAAAACGCTCAACAATTTCACTGGAATTGTTTAACACGATTTTAACAACCACGAAAAACCGTTTCCAAGTGAGGACAGTCATTCAGGCGCCTCCACAACGTGGTTAACGAGAGTGCGGAGGGGGAACTGACAAGTGGTGCCGTACATCTGCTCAGAACTCATAAATTTAGCCCTGGAGCCAGTCCACCAGACCAGCTAAATCCTCCACTTTCTTCTTCTTGAATTAGTGGGTTCTTGCCTAATTTGAAGAAGAGAGAGTGTTTGATTCTCTGACAAATGGGGTGGAACATCCAAGAAGAGATGGCGAGAAATAGCGGATTCTCACTTCCCTCACCATCAACGAGAAGCTTAAAGTTTTGAATAAAATAAATGGCATTTCTCTTGGCTCTTTGACAATCGCAACCATTTTATTTGTTGTTAATCAATCCGCTTAAGCAGTAACTGTCACTGAACTTTGTAGCCTTAAACCAAAAGCAGCACCATTTTCCAGGGACTCCGATGCCACAGTAATACGGCTATTGGCTTCATTTTTATGTAGGTATCGAAATTCGTACACAGAAAGCTGGAAATCCAAAACGTTAGCTCCTCACCCGTCACCCTTCTCATTATGTATCTTGGCCTTCAAGATTACCTCTTCATCCAATTCCCACTTTCAGAAGAAGGCCTACCCCTGATTGAGACGTTGCAGCTTGTTCGGTAAACGGGAGTGGCCCAACAAGACAGGATTTAATCAACTAGGGTGTTGTCGCGTCGCGGCGAGAGGGACACCGCGCGCGAAGGAATGTAGCAGAATGCAGCGGCAGCTAAGAATTACAAGAACAAAGGAGCTAACATTGGCATCATGCCTAAAATAAGGATCGCATATCGGTTGAGTTGTATGAAGAACGCTAGAGCTGTAATAACGAGGAACGAATGGTCCGCGACAGTCGCGTGCGGCGAATCGATTACAGAATATCGTTTCTACTGCCCGTCTCATAATCAACTACACAGTCCACCAACTTACCTTGTGTTGTTTCCCGTCGTAACCAGTAGCCGTAAAGGTTTCGCCAACATTGAAACGATATTGCAAGTTCCTCGAGGGATCGCCGGTAGTATAACTATAACGTACTTTTATACATGTATAAATGTTAATTGCACAAAAAACATCTGGTCGCAACACCACACATGGTAGTTGACCATATCTTTTTATGTAAATATGGAATCCCTCTCAAAAACTTAAGAGCGGTAAAAATTTGGGGAGAACATGGTTTCAGGGCACGCTTTGCTACCATCATTTACTATACTTAATCATAGATTGAACTAAGACTACTAGTTGTTTCAAATTACTGGTTGTACTTCTCTGTACCAGGAACCGCTATGGAAATCAGCGGCTTTGGAAAGTACATGAGGCTTTCATCGAGACCTGAATTGTCCTGTTTTTCGACGCCCAGTTAAATCAGATTTTCCGTTTTTCACTCCAGTCCAGGAAGTGATATAGCGGTGAACTCAAAGGGCAACGGTGTAGAGAATGGAAGTGATTGGTTTAGCAAACGGTTGTCGCTTTGTATTGAAATTGATTGGTTGGATTCGATTATTAGTATGAAGTTTCATTCTATTGAGGCTATTGATTTTGAAAAGTATTACATTTTTCAGTAGTTGGCATCCAAGAGATCTTTCAAACCTTCAGAAACTCAAATGGGAGCTGTGTTATAGGGTTCAATCAGAACACGAGCCGACTAAGGGTGATTTTTTGGGCTTTCCCTGGGTAATGTAACGAAAAGTGCACTCCCCAATTCGGCTGTTTAGACAAGGGCGGGAGTGGGGAAAGGGTAGGGTGTTGAGTTTCTTCAAAGGTAACGTTCACGAATAATTTTGTGGGTTATCTAGTTCTAGACGGGTAATGGAGGTGTTAGTCCAGAATAGTGCAAAAGTGTAGAAGAAAACCCAAAAATCGGCGTATTCAGAGAAACTCAGAAGGCTTCAGGAAAGCAGTAAAGCAGCGGTTCGACGAGAATGTTCCGAGAAAAACAGCATGGAAGGGGTATTTGGGCGAGCTGTTCGAACACGCCATTTCGTCAGCTACTTGCAATATACTGCCTTTGTGCAAGTTGTGGGTCCCGGTGCGAATAGTGCCTACAGTCTCCACAGCCTCTACAACGCTGTGAGAGCTCGTCCGTCTTTGAGTGTGCACACCGGCTTACCCGGAATAGGGGCCCTTATCACGCCCTATCTTTGTGTTTTTCGAGCCGACAGCGTCCCTTAGGCTATTCTTGGGGGTCACAGGTTCATCCTGAGGACAAGTCACAGAAACCATTTTCGACGTGAACTGTGCCTTACTCTAATGTAAGCACGGGAACTTTCAGACAGTATCAGAATTTTCCGTTGAAAATCAAACTTTACTGTAACTGCAGCTGTTAATCATTTTATTACAAGTAAGTTGTAGAGAAAACATAAGGATGCCCGTCTAGAGTAGAGTGGGCCGATAATACCTTTATATAACAAATATATTCCAATTTTATGGGTTGCTTTCGAAATGGCAAACAATACTCACGTGTAGGTGCCATCAGGATTCCGGTTCATTAGAAACTGACCCTTACGCATTTTTCCAGATATCATTTTCCGGACCAACCATGGAACCCCTAAATGAGTTCAACACAAATTGATTCATCACTCCGACGTAGTCGATAAAGTTATGTTATGAAGTAAAACATGAACTTGAGTTCCTTCAAAGTAATAGAAGTACATCGCTGGTTCGAAAGCTGCTTTAGTTGATCGATGCGCTGCGATTCCCTAGAGAATGATTAGCCGGGACTTTCATTCCCGGGTCCCTATTGACTATGGAGTAGCATTTGTACAGCGTTTGAGATAGCATTCTTGATAAGATATAGAGTTTGAAGTACACTGTCTAGATCAACATAGGTAAAGTCATGAAGAGAAAACCTTCTCGCATTCATTAGCCTCCTCCCGGGATGAGCCATGCGCTCAACTGCTACTTAAAAACATAGAACCGCATTTAGCTTACGAGGAGAGTTGAGAAATATGACTAATGGGTAATAGGGGCTTTCATTCTCCCAGACCGGTATGATACAAACTAAACAAATTCTCTTCTAGGTAACAGTGCCTTTCATCTCTCCGAATTCGGTTAGTTGTCCCCACTGGCATGGGAGAAGTTTAGATCAGACTCTAGGAGAGCGCGAGATCGAGGCGTCACTTTGCGTTATCCCAGTTCTTCCTTTCGGTATTGATAAGATAAACATATTTAAATAAACCTTTTGGAACCAACCTGAAGCTACGAAAAATTGCGGGAAATCTCGAGCTTCCACTGAATCATTTAATCTTCCATTTTATGATGGTCATTGACACACAAAGGTGAGAGCAAAGAAATCAAACACATATTTTTGAGTTTTTGGAAGGAAATCTTATGAAACTGCAATTTTTATTATATGCCGAAAATATAACGCAGAGATATTTTTAAAAGACAACTTGTTCAAATCTTCTCGTGAGATCACTGAGCTCAGTATTTAAAAATAGTTGGTTCTGGCAGGTTTGCCAGTTAAAAAACGATTACCAGAAGAGGCCTCGGGCAAAGGGTACCAATCATATGACAAAGATTGCTGAAATACATTCGTAAAGTAGACCGTAGACACCATAATGATACCTGAAAGTTCAATCAGCACAACCGTTGGATGCACATACCTTTGGAGACATGAGGAAAGAGAGAGGAATAAGAAAACAAGACGGTAACACAGAGGAAGTCATATAACGACAATGGCGTGGGCTCCTTTATTATTCATAACGCTTATATTTTGTTACTAATTTATTTCTTGATTCATTCACGCGTTCTGGATTCTGTAAATCCCATTTCCTTACGATAAAGGTGAAAAATATGGAAGATCAGTAGGACTGTTGTTTGTGAAAAATATTACTTTATGGCCATCGGAAGGAAACGGAAGGAATTGGAAACAGCATGATAGTTCCAACATAAATTGTAATTTTTAATCTGAAATTGTAATTTTTAACCTGTGCTCAATGAGTAGTATGGGACGTCACACTAATTGATTCGAGTAAGCCCCACTTCCGATACTGATGTGATGTTTGGTCCAATATCCTTAGCATTACTACCAGTATTACTGCGTAAGCAACATGTGCTACCACTAACTACTACGGGGGATCGTAAGATCTTATCAGTGGCTAGGGTCAGTCAGATGAAATTTTCATTCCAGTACTTCTTCAAAGAAGCGCTACTTGCATTTGACCCGACGACAGTTATAAACAGTGATCTTATTGGTAACAGGATCACCGTTTAATGTAGTATTTTGTTATTTTGACTAACTTGATAGAAGCGATAGACGCTGTGGAGTCTTACCGAACGTCTAAACTTCGATCTTGGTAAAGATCCGAAGTGGACACTACGAATTTTGATATGGAATAATGTTGAATGACTGCCTTGGCGGTTTGCCAAATGCTAAAACTCCATAAATCATTAGGTCGCTTCATGATCCCAACCAACGTTATCCTTATTGTCGTCAGTTATTTTTTTTTGGGGGGGGGGGGGGGGGGGGAATTCCGATGAAATGCTATTGGCTACCAAATCCACTTGTTCATTGGATGTCGCAGCGGTTACTTCGAAGGTTCACGAAGCTTTTTTTCGAGCACGATTTTTTATTTTTAAGGGTTCTCCAGTGTGGACGGAAGAAATACTGGATGATAGGCGATAGCTCGACACCCGCTGTCTCATCCCCACTTTGATCCAATTATCCGCACCCCGGCCACTTGTTAACATTTGGTACTGGTTCGCTAAACGGGCAATCCTAGGCCCTTTCCTTGATCCAACCGAGATATCTTTCTGTGAGCAATCCAAATGCACACAGCCCAGAGAGCTCCACTCCCACGTGATTGCACTAAGCTGTTCAGAAAGTTCTGAAAATCACGTACTTAGAGCTGAGGTTACGGGTGTGGTGCAGTAGGAACGATAGAGTCGCGTCGCGGTGGGAGAGACACCGCGCGCGAAGGAATGTAGCAAAATGCAGCAGCAAGTAAGAAATTCAGGAACAAAAGAGCTGACAGTAGAATAATACCATAAGCAATAATCGCATAGCGATTGAGCTGAATGAAGAACGCTTGAGCTGATATAACGAGATAAATGGTTCGCGACGGCCGCGTGCGGCGGATCGATTACACAAAACCGTTCCTACTGCCCGTCACCCCTGAGGTCACTACTGACTATGCCCACAATTACTGAACCGCCTGCAGTTGTTTACAAATTCGTTTTCCAAAATACATATTTCTCTATTTGCCCGTTCAATAAGATAGATGGTACTGTGATTTACAAGCCGTCACCATTGAAAACGAGTGTGATGCAATTAGACCGGACACAGGCCGACCTCTCTGGGGGACCCTGTTCAGATGGAACAAAGGTGAGCAGAAAACATCCATACACGAGTGTTAATAGTCAGTAGGAGTTATCTTCGTCTTCTAGTTCGAATTGTTCATATAGTAATTCCAAATCGTATTTTTCGCTCCTACTGCAATATATGCTGAACGTACACTGGCAAAAGCTCCTGTTTCCGATAGTATCAAAGAGCACACATTGACTGACAGATAACCAACATCATTATTCATCATTTTCGATAAAAATAGCTGCAGGTGGCCAGTGAAGAAATGCCGAATTGCAAAGAGTTCGCTGATCCTGACTGATCTCTGTGCGTGCCTCGCGAGCTTTTTTGGTAAAACAAAGGAAAAAATAGACCGCAAAAAAGTTGACAGCCTTACTCGAAGTGCAGCTGACTAGCAGGTGCATCACTGTAGACACGTGGCCGTGCTTTTTACTGTCCAGTAGCTTCATATTCATTGAGAGTGGCAAGCCCCATGGCGTAAGTCATGTGCTATGTTGAGGTCAACTAACACGTGCCCATAGCATTTTACTGAAGGTACTCTCCCGGACAGACTCTTGGCTCAAAGAACGGTCTTGAGGTGCACTGGTCAAGCCCATTTCATAGCAAAGGAGGATTTGGACATAGTCATCGTCATCTTGAGCATTTGGGAACCCAGAGCAGGAGGGTCCTACCGCATGTGCGAGGCGGCCTTTGTCAAGAACGGTTACTCATTGGTTATGATGATTACTCATATTTGAAGCAGTAAAAGGTAGAACATTGAATAGGAGAGCAACAGTAAGAAACCGAATCGGCTCAAGAAAAATTGAACATATGAACTTGAAGTATCACCTGTTAAAAATTTCTTCTCCCAGCACAACGAATAATTGAAGTAAAAAGAACTGTCAGTGGTGCGCAGATGAAAACAGAGCAGTATGTTGCTTAATTTCCTCAAAATGACCAAAACTACAAAAAAAACCAACTTGAACGAACTTAGACGACGAATCTGGTTCAATGCGCTCGGATCCGAATTTTACCAGTGCACCAGAGTAAAATAGTCAACTAGTATTACATAGGTTTTATTGTTCAAGAACATAAGTGCTCTTCAGTATTGATAACATTATAACTATCCACTTCATCTTTCAGGGTTTTCGGAAGGTATCTACTCCACATCATAAGAATTCAGATTTCCCCGTATTGTTTCGAATGTTCTTATATAAATACTATGAAAGGATATTATCCCTTGTGTGGGGATAGCACAATCGGAATTTCCATGGTGTCGCAGTGAGTTGATGAGATCGAGGTTTTTTTTCCTTCCTGTTCTCCGGACATTAACCTTCGAAATCTAGTTGTCGGATATCAAGGGCTTCCATGAGGCTTCAGAAGGGCCCATCTAGAAAAAAAGTAGCCTTGAGGCCTTATAACGTAAACAAATTGCTTTCACCTCCCATTTCCACTCGACCTTTTATCAGGTCACATCCATGTATTGCTTTTTAGATAGCGAAGGCCAAAGGTAGTAGTGGAGAGCTAGAGATATGTTATTGATTGACAGTGATTGCTAACTAATCTCTAAAGAGAAAAACGAACTGTCTGTATTTTCAATTGAGAATTTATTTCATAACTTAACTTATACATATTTCGGCAGTAAGTAAAATTCTGTGTACTCAGCTTTTTTTAAATGAGCCATACGGCTATTTTTTTCATTGCCAGGGAAGACGCTAATTTATGGATACCTCGTAAAAATTAAGGATTGAAGAGTGTGCATTTGAGAGTTTCATATAATTATCGAAGAAAAATTGATAATTTTTTTGTACGTCCATGACTTCCAGAATGACAACAATTTTTTCAAATATTATTACTATTTGAAAGCTATAAATTAGTTCACTTTCACAGTTCACTAAAACAGCTCGTTTTAGGAGTAAAGTTGACGAGTAACAAATTCCAGAACGGTCAGTTGTAGTGCTTACCTCGGACAGAAAGAAAGTCGTCAAGGTGTTCCTCCTTTGCCTCTACAAAATGGGTACCGAGAAATGCTTCAGGAATCATCCTTCTCTGAAAGTTACCAGTATTTTGAGAGTCCTTGAAGGAATGAAATTCACGTATTCGCAGCTCTGAGTGAGTTCAGAAAAGCAAGGAACATAAGCACGTAAAAGGCAAGAACAGCAGGAAAAATCGTTCCCGCGGCGATAGCGGTCAGCTAATCCAAGTGCGGAGTGCGCTATCGGCCCCTCTGATAAAACGTTCCGTTCACCCAGTAATATGATGACATACCGTTCAAAACACATCAAAACAAGGAATCTTTATCAAACGATCAGTCTAGACAGAACGATTCCAGAAAGTAATTAGAAATTTGTTCCATGACATACTTGTAACAATTTCATGGGCAGTGTTGTACTTGGCAGGCAGTGACAGTATAAATAGAGCAAATGTAAAGCAGAAGTGAAGGTTTTATAAGTGAAATAATTAAGTAGAAATAATGTCGTGGTGATTGCCTATAGAAGATCCTTTGTGAAATTCAAATAAATACAGTTATAATAATAATCCACTAAAAAGAACAAAGTTGTAGCTACAAAAAGGGGTAAAAATGGTAAACGCGAAGTATTGCAGTAATGGCATGACTCACTCAGACATTTCTGTTGCTTTGATTTGTTTAGGCATGAGCATGATGACTAAGTAAACAAGTCAAAAGGTGCCTTGAATCATTGTTAATTCGTTTTTATTTTTATTTCGTTTCTCCTCAAAGGCATCGGCATGAACCCAAGGATGTTCATGTTGAAGAACACGGGTCTGAGCCATACGCTGCAGTTCACGTGCTCTGGAATGGCTTCGATTCATTTTCGAAAGCTTTTAAAATTTGGCTATCCACATTTACTTAAGATATAAGAGCATTTGCCAAACAAACTTATGAAGTCGAAATTAAACAAATGCTATTCAGTTATTTTTTAGGGCCCTTCAGAGAACTCGTACGTAAGCTTTATTCTACTAGGATTTCGGAGGAATCGTCTCTATCAGAGCCTAACATTGGGGCTGAAGAGATTTTTGGTCTAATTGTCACGATCCTTTCAGGCATTGGTGAAGGTATGCTCCAAAACATCGGTTAAGGCATGTGTCCAAATCTTTGAGGAAACTGTATACAGGATAAAAAGGGATAAAGTTTTTGGCAATAATCAATTTCTTCTGAGGGATGCGCCTCCGCACAAGACTTCCATTCAGAATCGTAGTGGCGTAATGAGTGCGTATATGGATTATACAATGACTTGTGGTGGCCAGCCGATGTACAAGTCATTGCTTTCATCCTCCCGACGAGCCTGGTGCTAATTAACCGTCTCTGAAGGGATGGAAGGTTCGTCTGGCCTATGCGGATACCGATCCGGGATTTGAACCCCGGACCATGCGTATGAGATAGTGCGCCACTTCCCACTACACCACAACCGCCCGAGGAAACTGTATAGGTCCATTATTCATTACAACACGCTAACATCAATATTAATCTTGATAATGATACAAAAGGGTGACTGCCAGGGCACAGCAGCTTAGTTTCCTTATTTACTTGAGAACTCTAATCTAGATAGTAGATCAGAGTGTCGAACATCGTGAACGGTTTTTGTTGCTTTATTGTTATAGACGGACGGAAGTGGTGTAGTGAAAAGAGGCGCAACACCACACACACACATGATCACGGGATCGCATCCCGGCTCGATATCCGCATAGGCCAGCCTTCCATACAGGGTCACTTGAAGCATTAATTGAAACATATCGACTGAAGTGTTGGAAACTGCATCAATGAAATTTCTCAGATAATCCTGAACAACAAGGCGAAGCTGTGTAGTAGCAAGTGGCGCACAATCTCACACGCATTGCCACGGGTTCGAATCCGGGATCGATATCCGCTTAGGCCAATCGAGGCTTCCATCCCTCCGGGGTCGGTTAATTGGCGCCACACTCGCCTGGTAGGATAAAAGCACTGACTTGTAAATCGGATGGCCACCGCAAGTATTGTATAGGCCCTATACGCATTCAATACGCCATTACGTTTCTGAATGAAAGTCGAGTGCGTGGGCGCATCCTTCAGATGGAGTTGATTAATGCGAAAAGACTTTACTACTATTACAGTTTTGAACAATACTCATGAAGAACCGGCGATGAAAAAGAAATGTCTATTACTAGTACTGCTTTCATTTTTGAGCCTTCACAATCGTCTTTTTCGGTTCATGTGACTTTCGCTATGCAACCGAATTTGAATGGGCGTATTATAGTTAATTATAACGGTTTAATTAGATGCAGAATTGAAAAAAAATATTGTCCAGCTGGTACTTCATCAAACAAATTTCTCAATTATATCAATTTCCGACTTCAAAATGATGTGAATGACGGCGCAAAGCTCACCTGAGTTCAGCCCACGTAGGCTTGTTAGTTTGCCGATAGAAGCACACTCCCATCATTACGATCCATACCAATAGAGAAGCGAATGACCACACGACAAGTAGGTGTTCTACTCCGGACCAGGTGCACTTTCGTTGAGACTTGAAAAGATATATATCAATTGTCTATTTAGCTTGTTGTGCGCACTGATTTAGCTATTCTTCAACAGAACCTCCCAATTTACGTTTATTTGCATGAAGTAATCTGAGTGGGACTATGGTGCCGGACAATTTCAATGTCAATCCTCTATAATTGCTGAGTTAATAAGCAGAGGAAGCTGGCGCACCCACTTTAGGACAATGGATGCAAGCTACAGTTTGGTTTCTACACCAAATCGCCATCCACACACAGTGTGAAGGTATTGAATATCAAAACACTTCTCTTTCCATATCATGGTTCTAAAGTACTGTTTAGTATTCGAACCGTCTTTAATGGAGAAGGTCTGTTGCGCGCGTCCGTCGACAGTAGGTCACCCCGCCCACTACGCGCGCGGCGCACCCCACTCAGGTCTTGAGGTGACATTACAGTACCACCGAGTGTCAGTAGAGCTAATGATATGCACTTGTCCGTGTTAGCTTCTCTTGAGCTGACTGCCGTGGACAAAGCGCAAATCGTATGCCCCATTGACATCTGCGACTTCCGTCAAGATCGCGGGCTGATCCGCCGCATGCGGCGACTGCGACGTGACCTAGTTTCGACGGACGCGCGCAGCGAAGCTCACCCGCACAATTCCATTATACCTAAAAATGCTCTTATTGTGTAGTTAGTGATAATTGTTGATACTCAAATGTAATACTACACACACGTTATAGGAAGTGCAGCCAAGTAGTTGGAAATGTGGAATATACCCATCGTTCTCCTTCTTGTCAAGGAAATCAAGGAAGTCAAAATTCTTTTGCCTGTATTTACCTCAACACTATGTGAGAAGTTGTTTTGAAATTTTCCTCTTCTCTAGGAAGCCCTCTCGAAATTCCTTGTCCGTTTTCTTTAGTTTGGATAATTAAGTGCTGTAAGATACTCAAAAGACCTAGCGATTATTTATAGAGTTGTCAATATAAAAAATTTATTTCTTGTTTACAAATGTAAACACCATAGACTGGCTCGTATGGCTTACCGCTATGATGGTGGCATTGGAGCATGCCACTTGACGTTCAGGTAGCATGTCAGTGTCGTTGATTGTCCTGTCGTCGAGACGCCAATCTCGGGGATTCGAGAATTTGTCTCCTTTAATTTTAAAAGCGGCTGTATTCGTTGTAAAAGGTTATTAAAAGTTTAGGTTTGATGGTCAAAAAAAGTTTGAAATGTCGAAAGCTGTGACTAAATGGCATAGATGGTGTAGTACCAAGAGGCGCACAATCACATACATGGGCCAAGGATCGAGTCCCGAATGGTGACCCTCTCAGGGAAGGCAAGTCGTCCATGCTTCATGGGTCGGCTTACTTGTAACATTCATCCAAGAACATAAAAGTTTCTACTTCGGCCGAATACCCCAAGTTATTGTATAGTACGTATAGGTCCCCTGAGCATTCTAAGCGCGGCTGATTTAGAATTTTTGAATTCGATTGTGGGGCTCAACCCGAGATAGAATTGATCAACGCCTGAAGACTTCCCCTTTATGCAACCAAAAACTTACTTGCAATTGTGCTGATGTCATTTTCGTTAATGGGTGGCATAATCTGATCCGTTTCAGTCGACCACTCTGAAGATTTATCCATTCCAGGATTGAGCTGAGCTATCTAAGATGAAATAGAATTATTGAATTAATATTTTGACTAGTCACTTACGAGTGAGTTCGACTCGAAGAAAAGGTTCTCACTCTGTTCTCCAAGACGGAAATTTCTGATGCGAAAATATAAGGTGGACTTTGTGGCCCGGTTGTGGTTGTACTCAACCGCATCCTGAAATGACTAGTTAAGCATAAATTTCCTCGCTTACAATATTTTTCATAATTCGCTCCATTTACTAAATTGACAGCCAATAACTTAGCAAATACCTGAGTCCTTACAAGAAAAACATCGCCAATTCCGAGATATGAGGATTCCTTTCGATTTTTAAATACCGAAAAGACTGTGAAGACCCGCTTTTTCAGAACAAATCTTCGTCATTTCCAAATTTGTTTTTCGCTACAGAACGGGTGTGGTGCAGTAGGAACGAAATCGTCGCGTCGCGGCGAGAGAGACGTCGCGCGCGAAGGAACGTGGTAGAGAATGCAGCAGGAAGTAAGAAATATAGGAACAAAAGAACTAGCAGTAGGATCATGCCAAAAGTAATAGTCGCATATCGATTGAGCTGCATGAAGAACGCTAGAAATTTTATAACGAGGCAAATGGTTCGCGAAAGCCGCGTGCGGCGGACCAATTACACAAGACCGTTCCTACTGCCAGTCTCCCAAAAAAGGCAAGTTTGGAAACAACGAAGGTTAAAATTCGTTTTGAAGGGTCTCACTTGGTTCTGTTTCAGAGAATTCTGGATACTTTGAACTCACTTTGAGGACTTGTTGGTGTAGAAAGCCATGGTAGCAGGCATATCACGGGTTCGCGATGGCTTCTGAAAGAAACGTGACATAAAAATCGAAATATACAAAACACTATACGAATTTACGTCTTCGGTGAGGGGTGGCACAAAAAGAAACCTTTCGCAGATCGGCCGGTTTTGAAAAATTGAAGGTAACTCAACTGTACATTCTGGCAGGTACCACCGTTAATATAATAGTTTTGATTCACAATCAGTCAGTACGCGATTTGAAAGTCTCACAAGGTTGGCGAGTTGTGGGCGAAGCTCAGGTCTTGGACAGAACCCAAACCTGTACTTGGACTTTCAGGGCCTTCATCCTCCACAATAGCGATAGCCGCTTGTATAAATAGTGATGAGCGACGTTTGAAGACAAAAAAAAAGAAGAAATGTAAACACGTATTCCTACAGCCAATGTGTAGAGAAAGGATTATAAGAACTTGTACTTGAAAAAAAACTTGACTTGAAGTACAACAAAAATTACTCTACAGAAACTCAATCGAAGTATGTATCATGTCAGTCTCCAACTCTGTACCCATAGACCCTTACCAAAGCTTGGTTGCAGTTGAAGGGATCCAAACTTCCGAGAATTGATAGTTGATTCTTCTGAGTTATGATGCACTTTCGTAGAGGCTCATCACGAAGTATATTGGGCTACTCTTTTGAAGGCACAGTTCACGATAATTTTGAAAAATCCAGATTATGATGACAAATGGAAGATAAGATCGAAAATAGTGCGAGGAAGGTGAAGAAACTGCATGAATCGGTGTTTCCAAAGTGAAAAAAGTCTCCAAAAAAGGTTAAAAAGGGGCTGGAAGAGAATGAGTCCAGAAAAATGAAGAAGAGTGGGCGTTTGGACGAGTTATACAACGTGTCTCACTGCGTACATGTGGGTCCTGGTGCGAAAAAAAGACGACGGTATGCGAAAATTCATTCACTTATAAGCATAAGTAAACAAAACCCTAGTAGCGGCAAAAGCAGCTCACCTTTTTCAGCCTCTAGGAGCAGGAAATTAAAAAAGGGATCGCGGCAGCAAAAAGAATAACGGAGGAAAATGAACGGAAGAAAAACATCGCCTCATCTCTCGGCAATCAGCTGATTGTGTGTGGGTCCTAGGACGAATAATTGCAATCTGTATCGCCTCGACACTCGTCTGACGTGGCATCGATCGAGGGGTGGGAAAGCCAATTACGGCAGCAACAGGGCTTCCACTATGCCCTAAGCGTTGAGATTGTGGGAGCGAGAGGGTCCCTTCTACCACCCATGGGGGCCTCTGAGTATTCTTAAAGGAAGAACTCAGTAACCTTTTTATCGTGAACTGTGCCTTCAAACGGGAAGTTTCGGCTGTGGCTTCCACTTCTTAGAAGGGAAGTATGTTTGACATCTGTGTTGCTTTGCAGATCTTTTGAGCTTTGAGATGAAATTTGCAGGTATCTGCTGCCATTAGACAAGATATCGCTCTTTTCTAACCGGTTGGTTCGAGTATGTAATGTAGAAAGCTTAAAACTAGCGACCATCGAGGTGTAGTAGATTTTGATGGCAACTACGAATACCAGAAAAGTCGCAAAACTATACAAGACAAAAGAAATCAAAAGAACTGAAAAATCAATTACTGACAAATTGTGTGATCTATTATTGTTGAAAAATGTTGGTTCATCTATGATACCTGTGAAGAACGAGTATAAGTTGTTCCCGGCGTGATAGGCAACATCGTTGTTTTACTGCTGGACTTGGTTGCCATCGTGGCTCTTGTTGTGCTGATGATTTTTTTCCTGAGGATTTCACTGCTTCAAGGAAGAATCAGGTACCATTTTTTCTGCTTTTTTACTACACTTATTCTTATTACTGTAAAGAAGTGGATTACTGCCAATAGGCGCACTACTACAACCCATGTGATCAGCTGATCAAATCATAGCATCGATACCAAGTCAAACAGGCCATCCATGCCTAGTTTATAGACTTAATTGTATATGCTGTGACTAGGAGAACTAGGAGTACTGGCTAACACGTTAGCTGGTCATCGCAGCATTGAAAAGGCCACATACACGTTCAAATGTTTCTATTGGATTGATGCATAATTATTGCGGATTTGATTTTGAAAAATTTTACTCGAAATAAAAAAAAAACGATAAAAACTTTAACAAAAACATGTTTAACTAATTACTCCGAAACGTAACCACCATCTACGTCAAGCATTGTTTCCCATTTACTAGGCAGTCAGATTCGGGAGACGCGCAGTAGGAACGGTTTTGTGTAATCGATTCGCCGCACGCGGCTGTCGCCGACCATTCGCTCGCCGTTATTACTGCTTTAACGTTCTTCATACAGCTCAATCGATATGCGATCTTTACTTTAGGCATGATTCTACAGTTGGTTCCTTTAATTTTGTATTTCTTACCTGCTGCTGCACTCTGCTACAAACCTTCGCGCGCGGCGACTATCTCGCCGCGACGCGACAATTTCGTTTCGTTTATACTGCACCGATTACATCCCTTATTCGGCATTGGCTGACTGTTCCATCGCCGATTGAGATCACTCTATGACTGTGCCACCTTCCAAGCTTTCTCGAACTAATAGGACATGATGTGGCGTATATGAAGATGAATTTTTATTTATTCATACGTCCATGTAGAGTAGCCGACTGAATCAGTACGCGAACTCAAGACAATCATTGGCAGTTATTAGAAAAGAAAAGGAGAAAAAGGGCTGGACCAAGGAACTAGCGTACCCAACGAATACGAATGAGAAGAGGATTTTGGGGTGAATGCGTTCTAAGCAAGTATGTCGGTGGAGAATGATGAACTAGGAACGAAAGAGCCTATTGCGACAGGAAGCAAAGGTAAGTTATAGGGCAAACACCTGCATCGGTCGGCCATGGTTCCCTTAGCGCCAGAGTGGGGTCATAGGTACTTGCCGGGACTTCGGCACACGGGTATACCGAACACCCTCGTGTACCCGGCAAACTAGGTATACGCCCAGATATTCAGCCATGCGTTCCCAGTAGAGGTGTAGATTTCATTCATTTCTTTGATGGAAGCGAGAAGATCATTCCAATAAAATCCTGAATCCAATATTCAAATTGTAGATCAATAAAAAAGAAAAAATCCGCGATAATTATGCATCAGTGTGTTAGAATTCTGAATAGAGGTCGGAAGAGTGGGCGCACCTTAAGGATTGGTCAATGCTATAATCTCTTCCCCTTTTTTACTTTTATTATAACGGGTTCCAGTGCTTTAAAGAAAGCTGCGAAGCAAATTTCAATAGGCAATCTAAGAGTCCTTACCTTGGTGGTGAAGTGGACTTTGTCGTTAGCCCCATGGATGTTTGAGTGGTTGTAGAGGAAGGGATCGACGAATCTGTCGATTGAGACTCGACTCGTTTTATGGAGGTAGTCATCAATGTTTGTGTTTGCGTCATTTCCTCAAGCACTGTTGTTTGCGTCGAGTCACTAAAAATAAATTCGGTTTTTTGTATCATTTGGATATTTTCAGTTGTTCTCCCAACTCCATTTCATCTCAACAACAGGGTGTGTCAGCGACTGAAAAGGATCAGAAAAGCATAGGAAAGGATCCCAGACGGAGGCAAACATGCAAAAAGGTTTTTGAGAATTCTTCGATAATCGTGGGCCTGGAAAGGAAAAACGAACGCAAAATGCGGGGATAACGTCTATGTTTGGATGTGATCCGAAAAACAATGTGAGAGAAATCAAAGCAAGGTCTAAACAGATTTCCGAGGAAGTAAAGAAAGGGTAAACAATAATAAACAAAACAGTACATCAATTTTTGTTCCAAGTTTGTACGAAAATTATTCATAGAAAGATTGTTGAATGAAGGAACTTAAGCACAGACCTTTCCAGAACAGTTGAAGGAAACGTCACGAAATCCTCTGTCTCAGAAACAGTGGGATTTGGAGATGGACTAGTTGTTGTTGATAATTCAATGTTGTCTATTTCTCCAGAGCCCTAAATGGTCACTTGAACTTGTACGAGATGGTTGCGCCCTGCAGTAAATGGCTCCTCGGAAGGGTCACTCGATGAGCAAAAAGTTTACTTTGCAATGTTACTAACTGGTAAATTTGTAAGTTAGTTCAGTTTATTTCTATTTCATTGACTGGCTCCTGTTGATTATTGCCAGGGTCGGTAGTGGAAGGGAATTTCAGTTTATTCTGGTGTATGAAAAATTTATTTGTAGAACTCCTTGAACGTTTAAAGGCACACTTCACGATAATCCGAGGGGCGGGGAAGCTCCGTTTTTTCGCCCCTCGATGGATGTCACGTCAAGCGAGTGTCGAGGCGATACAGATTGCAAATATCCGTTCTAGGACCCACACACAATCAGCTGATCGCCGAGTGATGAGGCGGTGTTTTTCTCCCATTCTTTTTTCCTCTGTTATTCTTTTTGCTGCCGCGATCCCTTATTTGAATTCCTACTCTTAGAAGCTGAAAAAGATGAGCTACTTTTGCTTCTACTAGAATTTTTTGCTTACTCATGCTTATAAGTGAATAAATTTTTGCTTACCGTAGTCTGTTATTCGCACCAGGACCCACACGTACGCAGTGAAACATATAGTATAGCTCGTCTAAACGCCCCTTGCTCTTCATTTTTCTGGTCTCATTCTCTTCCATACCCCTTTTTGACGGTTTTTCGAAGCCTTTTTTCATCTTGGAAACACCGATACACGCAGTTTTTTCACCTTCCTCGCACTATTTTCGATCTTGTCTTCCATTTTTCATCATAATCTGGATTACCCAAAATTATCGTGAACTGTCTCTTTGATAAAAAAAAGTCGAGTAAAGAGTAAAGAGTAAACATGTTCAAAATTGCATTTCTAGCAGCGAATAAAGGAGAAGTGTCGTTTACAAATCCTGAGGATTTTCAAAGTCGCTTAGTTGCCAACCGAATAAGGCGATAGGTGAATCGCGTGTCAAAATCCACCTTGTACTTGTCTTAAGGCGTGGATGTATAAAGAAAGAAGCACCCGTGTTCTACATTTGTTCTACATTTTTTTTTATTTATTGGTAGGCTTACCTTTTAATATTATAAAATTGCCTACAGCAAAGTAGAATGTAACAGTAAAGAATAGAAAAAAACGTTCCGAGAAACCTACGATAGTTGGATTTTGAGGCTGAAAAGCAGTTGGTGATCCAACATTATCGATCGATGAGAAGTCGTTGTCATTCAATTCGTTTCGCCGAAATTCGGTGCTATTTGGACTCCTGACAACAGGAAAACTTACAAAGTACTTTCTCAATTTCAAACAGAATGGCAGTCTTATCGACTCGTACGAAATTCCAATCTCGTCTAATTTTTCACCTTACGCAGTGTACTTCTAGTTGACATTGGGACCGTAATTTATTGTGATTTGATTAAAAATAACATATTTCAGCAAGATTGGGACTTCACGTTAATATTGTTTATTTTATGTTAGCTTGAGAGCCTGAACTTTGAAATAGTCACTTCGCTTTTCTATGCTGATTAATACTTTTTACTTGAAGTCACCCCCACTTATTGCAATGAACGCATAGTCGTTTACTCTATACTGATAAACTGTGATAACGTGTCGTAATGGCCACTACAGAATCTTACCCTTTGCTTCTCCAAGTCAGTTTTTGTTAGAGACCTTTCGGCTCCTTTTGAAGGAGAGAAAGAGGTGGTACTTGTTTTGAATTGGATTCGCCCCGTTCATCCTTGAGTCAGTCAGTGACTAATTGCTGTAGTAGGGGCCCTATGTAGTTGGGCTTCAGGAACCCCATCCCTTGTCAGCTCTTCCTTTAGTACCGTTCAATTGATCTGTTCTGAGGAGCGCTCTTTAATAGTTGTGTAATGAGTTATCATGAGCCCAATGGGAGAACTTTTATCACTGGTGGTAATTCCGTTGCAAATGACGCCTTTAGAGTGCAAATTTCATTTCTTCTCACTTCATTACTCCATAACAAAACACCTTCGTGAATTTAGTTTTACCTGTACGATATTCCCATCAAGAAGTGGCGAGGTGTTGTTCGAACCTTTGGTTCCTCCATTTTATCATCGATTACTGCAGAGAGGTAGAATCCTCAAATACCGGGCACTCTGATAATGATCCATCTTTTACATAAGGTCAGTGTAGAACTTACTTTCTTGTAGTAGCTCAATATTTGTGTATTGATTATTGTGCACGGTAATCCATTCACTAGTTACTTTTATTTGATGTTCATAGCGATTATTGATCGTACCTGATATGGAAATTTTAGAGATTCCAAAATGCACGTGTGCAGGATCTATTCAGTTTACCTGTCATAAAAGTATTATCGATGACGTCAATTTTGGTGTTACTCGAATATCGATTGAGTATTTCTTCCTTTGTAATTGCACACTTGGGAGGCTGAATATTACGGACTTCATACAGTACTACATACACTATTTTTGCATTGAAATTGCATGTTATTGGTGGAGAGTACTTATTTAATAGGCCGCCCTCGCAGAGCTTCACAAAACGCACACAGCCATGAATGGAGAGGAAGTGCCTTTTATTTTGAAAGGACACCAGGTCTCGCCATGGTGTGATCACGGAGGTCGGAGTTGAGGGGGAAGAGCGCTAATGACCTACATATTTTGTGGGGCAGGAGGCACCATCGCGATTATTTTAGCAAATCGAATAAGCAACCCAATTTGGGCCCTTTGGAATATTCGGATCTGTGCTCGGCTTGCTGAGCGGGTCCTCTAACGGGGTAATGCAGAAGAAGCGACGGGGAAATATGCTACAGCTGGTATCTATTAGTAAAATACACCTGTATAGAAGATTCGCTAGGTTCAGGTGGCTGAATTGGCCGTGACTAGTGATTGTACAAAATCCATCACCGAATGTTGATTGTTTGGAGACAATTTTCAACCAGAAATGGAAAATCTATCAGCGAGAATAATGTGACCATTTCCTTCTAACATCAAAAATAATTTTTAGACAAAGGCACCATAAACGACTAAATCGTCACAAGTCTTTCCTCATAGCCGGATTCCCTGCCCGAATAACAACATGATAAGAGTTGAGCGAGGGACAAGGCTTCGTTTTTAACTGGTAACTGACAAGAAATTCGATAGTGGATGCTATGTCACAAGCTCACAAAATTGCTATGAAGGACTACCAGACTTCTTCAATTTGTATATTAAACGGTTGGGCAATGTGTTGTAATAAAGTCAAAATTAGCGAAGTTACTTCATTTGAAGAGCCCGTCACAAACTTACAAAAATCCGATCTTTGCACACGCCTTCACTGCTGCACATCTGCACTTGACATTCTATACGGTGTCTGAAAAAACAGATATTCAGTTGTGATATATAGATTTGGTCTTCAGAATAATAATAATAACAGTGATAGTGATAAGAAGAGTAATAATGACAATAGTGATAAACAAGTTGGACCTCGAAATGTCTAAGTCCTGAGAAAAGCGCTTCATATAAAGGCAAGTCTGGGGAGACGGGCAGTAGGAACGGTTTTGTGCAATCGATACGCCGCACGCGGCTGTCGCGAACCATTTGCCTCGTTATAACAGTTCTGGCATTCTTCGTACAGCTCAATCGCTATGCGATTATTACTTACGTCATGATCCTACTGTTAGTTCTTTTGTTCTTGGATTTCTTACTTGCTGCTGCGTTCTGCTTCATTCCATCGTGCGCGGCGTTCCTCACGCCACGACGCGACAATTTCGTTCCTACTGCGCCACACCCGCAAGTCTGTACGTACATTTTTTGAGGAAGTACTTAGTGAAAGTGTTTCTCAAGTTAGTCAGATATCAGTTACATAATGACGTACTTTTCATCATTCATAAATTTGAAGACACGCGCACGAGCGAAGATCTTGGGCATGAAGTTATTGTAGACGATTTCTCCGATAAGCTCTGAGTCCACAATACACCTAAATGCATCAGATCCGAAAAATCCAAAGAAGCTGTTATCTAGAATATTTCGGTTCAAAGAAAAAATCGAAAACTCGGAAAACTTGTTATTCCAGGTATTCACAGACCCATTTTCGTCCACAAGGTGTATAATTTGTCCAGAATCCGAGATAGCATTGCAGTTAGTCAGGAACGTTTGATACTTCACACCTTCTGTAAACCCTGTTTGTGAAACAATGATAATGACAGATGATATGGGAGGATACCTTCGACAGGGAATTCACAATTCCATTCATGGACGACAGAATCTCCAACGTGGAATACCGTACTGCTTTCCCATCGAGACGCCAATCGTATCGTATGAGAACAAAATCTGTAATGTATGAACTTACAGTGGCCAGCCGATGTACAAGGTAAAGCTCTCATCTTCCCACACGGCTCTTGTACCGATTGGCCGATTCTGCAGGGATGAAAGGCCTGGTTGGCCTAGGCGGATATCAACCCGGGAATCGAACCCGTAACCACCGCTTCGTACCCCTACACCACCCCCGTGCTATGCATAATATGATCTGGGAAGAACTCCCTCTAAAGTTCATCCAATTAAAAGGACACACACTTATCCTAAGTCAAAACTAGAATTCTGTGTTATACAGGCGTACATACTCATTGTTAGTTGAATGGCAAATTCTTTTCTCATACTGTACACCAGTCGGGTCGCCCGACAAACGCCGGGCTTCACTCCTTCATATGATAAAAATTCAAGAATCAGCTTACTGGCCCACTCCTTCTTCGTAACAAATGGTACTATTTCGAACAAGAAATCAGAGCACCAACAGGGCATCCATATGGTATTCAAAATGCTCCGACGCTTACGCCTCTGATCAAAACTTTCGATCTAATGTTGTTCATCTCAAAAAAAGACCCATTGAACGTTCAACTGGCAGGCAACCACGGGTAGAAGAAACGGGTAGAAGAAAAAAATGAGATGCCGAAAATGCAGGCGATGGCCCTCAATTTTCACGTAAGTCCTATGGAGAAATATAATACTTCGAGTAATTCCACGTTCGGTCTCCTTGAAACTTGGGCATGCTGCATAATGTCACCATTTACACCGCTTTTCGGTTGGGAAGTTTTGGTGTTCAAGTTTCTGCTAGCTGTTACAACTGGGCTAGCGCGTTTGGACGCTCGGTCGGGTAAGCCACAGATCAGGAGCTCCGGACTGCTTTCAGGTCCTTGAAGACGACGATATAGTCGAAACGTTGACCAAATAAAGCGGTTTCTACCATAACAAACCTGTACGGCGAAACAGTGCAAAACATTACTCAGTAATACTAACAGATTCCTAACAGGAATGTAGGGGATGACTAACCTTACAAAAAATATATTACTTTATGAGGTTGAGTCTCTGATCTTTTGTACAACGGTTGATGAACCCATGGTGTTTAAAAAACGGCGGAATCTTTCAGGGCAACCTAATATATAGTAGGATACTGTATGGGTTCACTGGCTACGTTTGCTTTTACTGATACTCCGTTAATATACTTGTAGTCAACACAAATGAACTCCCGTAGCCAAAGATTTGGAGATGTTTTTTTTGATGAATCTTCCCGCTCAAGGCATTCCAAAGCGATTTAAATAAGGTGCCTACCCTTCCTGGTGTTTCGACGCCCTGTGCGATATGGCATACGCGTTGTCGATACATTTCACGGAGAAGAGCCGATCATTACTAGATACCACTAAAGGATGGAAACCAACTTCGACATGTCCAGAGAATACACGTGATCCATTCTGGAATACAGCATTATTGTTATTTGCATAAACCAGTCAGTACCACTCTCTGGTATGGCTGCCCATGCATTTGATTTATATCCCGAAACAAACAAATCTTGTTTCCAGGGATGTGACGTCCCCCTCGTTTCCCGTATGATCACTACAGAATTTTGAGAGGAACCTTAGCATGTTTAACTCATCAGTAGAAAACAGTAAAAACTTACATTCAAGGAAATGGCATCCATACAACGCCGTAAATCGACATGAAACGTTGCATTCCGTTGGATATTGGCAGAAAAATCCTGTATGCATGCCGGATTATGGATTTTCTTCACAACCTGAATCAGATATTTCCGGTCAAAATTGATTAAAGAACAGAGCTGTACTGGAAGTGGTCGCCACATACATACATACTTGCCAGCCTGAGAAGAAGCACGGTAGAAGAAGAGGAACTTACTGAGATCCTTCCTTGAAACGGGATATTGGTGTCAAAATTGAACAGCAGAGATTTGTTTGAGCATATCAATCGTGGAAACCCTGAAAACGTTTCTTGGGGCAAAGGAGGCTAGTCGATAAATGAGAGTTGATGTTAATGTGGGAAGAAAGGTATAAGTCGACAGCCTCTGAAGCCAGCGCAAAAACTGTGATTTGAACAGTTTGTTGTACGGTAACAGTAACTGTAACAGTTAGGCCATTGATTTAATAAACCGTTCCATCCAATAACCTCGCACGGCACAAGTATATTTCAAGTAGTCTACCGTATTTTATATTCGTCTCACGAGTATTTCCACTGGTATTTTTTTTCGCTAAATCAATTTATTGATAGAACTCCACACGATGTTGACAAATACTAAAACCCTAATGACTAAAGTTTTGGCGAATCCACCTTCTTCGGATTCAAGAATGGAATCAACTCATGAAGCTACCCAATCAAGTATTTCCGTACCATACCGGACCTTGAGATGAACATAATCTTCACGCAATCCTAGGCACAGCACTTTCTTGATTGATAGAATCAGCCCTTGTGACCGATAGTGGAAGTTCAGAGTTTAAAGGATACCGTCAATGGTTAATTCATTTGGGAGGTGGGCGGAGATTTGACACACACGCTCTCTTCCGGTTCATTTCTGGGTCCTTGACCTGGATCCAAAGCCTGCGGGGTTTTCCTCGCGATTGTTTCCGTTTCATGCTCTACGATCTCGACTGTCAACCCAAAATCGTCTCCGTTATGAGACTTTACTTTGCGGCAACCTATGGCAGTTGACACTGCATCTAATAGAAATATAATAAAAGTAATAATAATAATAATAACAATAAGATAATGATAATAATATTAATAACAATATGTCTCACGAGGTTGGCGAGTTATGGACAAAACTTCGGCCTCAAACGGTAATCGAGCCCGTACTTGTACATTGCCGGTGCTCTATCACTTACACTACCGAAACCTCGCCTGCCCTCGCCTTCTTAATGGGTCTTGGTAGAGTAAGGGATAAGAAGTATGTACGGGTTCGGTCCCGCCCGGAGGCAAAGCTTCGTTCATAACTCGCTAACCACGTGAGACTTCGCACCGCTTACAAAAACCAGCAATTATAAAACAAAAAACAATAATATGGTTTTTGTTTGTATCGGAAACTTCTAGATTGTTCCTGAAATTCCTGATACGATGACCCTCTATATGGGTGAATAATACTTCCAAATTGAAGACTGTACTCCTATAACGTGCTGAATATTGTGAAGTCCATGGACTGCAAACTGTGCTGTTTTTCGAGGAAGGTGTTCAGAGTAATCCGATTGATGCTGTTGGAACAGGAAAAACTCTCGAAACCGGATTGGGACCGAACCAAGCGATAATATTTAGGGTTTTCGCAGTCGGCATAACTCTGAAGCTCGCCTCCATATTGAAGATAACCTTTGTGTGGATCATGTTTGAAATAATGGTGAAGGGAATCTTGCAAGTTAACCGACAAGTGCCTTTCGTCTAGGAAGCGTTCCACAATAAGCAAAATTGCTAACCACTTTGGCCATCCGCACCACTTCACAATCTAGATATGCCTACGTTCGTTCGTTCGCTGCCCGACTATTAAACAACTGGACCAGCTTAGGTCATGAGGAAGCCAAACAAGCCCAAAAAAATCTCACGTAACCAACGGACGATTTCCTGCTTACCGTAATCCAATTGTCGTAGAAAAAATGAATTACATAAAATAATAAAATACAATAAATAATATAATACTATAGGGTACAAGGGAGCAAAAATCAGCATGACTTCCATGAACGGATCTTAGTGTCACTACAATGGCTCTTAGCATACATCATGCCAACATGGGGCCACAAAAAGGGGCGCGTAAGAAGTTAGACGGCTTACCTAGGGTTTTTGTGCCCGATTTTGCCCACGTGAGCACTTCTATCCATTTTCAGCACACTTATATAATATATGTATATATGCGCCAATGACATGAGAATAAAGGGAAATAGGTTGTCGAGTGGTGCTTTAGAGTGGGAGGCATCAGAGAGCATCCTCCGCTACCCGCGTGCGGCTGCGTAGCGGCTCCAGTTATTTGCCTTCCGTTTCTTTGGCATTGGTGCGCAATATTGTTTGCGCGCAATTTTCAAAAATGCACCAAATGCACCAAAACCAAAGAAAGAGCCCCTTTTTCATTCGTCGTATATGTGGCGGGTATAAATTTGGACATTCAAATGAGATTATGCCGTGAAATAAAACATACTGTTTACAGAAATTCTGCAGAATTCGGAGGATGTTCTTTGATGCCTTTCGCTCTGTACCGTCACTCTAGATTGTCATGGACCGTGATGGGCTCTCAGTTGTTCCTAGATTTTATTGACTTGTGAGTACAGGATCGGCTATGAACCGCCATCCTGCACTTTTCAAATCCAAACGCGCCGAAGCCTTAGTTCTTCTAGTGCCGCCTAATTGGTGTCAGACTAGTCTGAGCGAAAAAAGCACTGAGTTGAATATCGCCATCGCTGACCCGGAAAATCGGAAAGGTCTTAGTGTTTCGAAAGGAAATTGAGTGTGTAGCACATCGTGAAGGAGCTAAACAATGTCGACTGGTCTACCCTTTTTTAATGGAAAAAAATTTTTGCGCTTTAGCTGAGAGCAGGCGATCTCACTCTGAAGTGTATCACCACAAGTGCCGTAATAAGATTACTACTTTACCAGTCTGCTTTTGAGCACTCAAACGAAGGAATAAGCTGCTGAGCACTGTCAGAGAGATTTGTTTTCTCAGGTGACGATTGCTTCACCAAATTCAAGGAGTATAGCCTATAAGGATGTGAAGATTCCTCTCTAAACTATTCAAAAACTCAGAGTCCTACTCGAAGGTGCAACGCTTCATTCGAACGACCCCAGCCAATCTTTCAAAGTGTTTAAAACCCTGCTTTTGCTTTTTTTTTTCGTAGAGAGGTCGTTGTGACACCGTGTCAGACGGTATTGGATTGCTAAAATCCTACTGTGTTAAAAGTCAGAAATTTTACATCTTCATGAATTAAATTAGCAACAAAACTTAATAGAATTTACCTAGAATTTTGGCGTTATCGAAGTCCTCCGATTGATTTGTCAACCGTAGGAATATCAGTTGTAAAAGTAGAATAAGCATCGCATTCGGAGAATGGGTGCCTTTGCTCTGAAACATTTCCTTTTTTATTATAAATATAGCATGTTACTTAAATGACTCAGAACGAAAGTACATCTTTCTACTACAAGGAAATTACTGTCTACTTAGCACGAGTCATCGGAAACGAAGAGTAGCTATTCTCAACGATGGTTGCAGTATAGTAGAGAAACTAAATTGAGTGCTTAACTTAAATAAGATAGCTGAGTAATTCTGAGTTTCTTGTGAAAGCTTTTGGAAACTGTTCTAGGAGCTACAGTACAGTTTAACACAATAAGTTTATGACCTGGTGTAATCGAGTGTGCCGATAATAATGTTAAGGTATGTTATGTTATGTTATGTTATGTTATGTTTATTACGCTGCCAAGGAAAACGTAGTATAAAAGGACATCAACCTACTGGAAACAACTCAAATAACGGAATAGATGCAAGGGACACATGTAATCGTAAATAGAGAACACGTAAAATAAGGTAATAGTGCAACTTCAGGATTAGATATAAAACAAAGGCATAGAAGAAGTGGGCAACCGCAAGGAACTATGAAAGCTCATACTCAGATAAAAGAACTGCCACAGTGCGTTTGATCTTACACAAGGAATCCGGAGTGTTCACGTTTTTTGTTACCTTTTTGTAAAGGCTAGCCGCTCTAAATGCGGAACTTTTGGCTCTTATACTGGTTCTGGGCCTAAGAAGATTTATTTAGTCTGACCGCCTCTGGTTCAAGATTGAGCCATATTGTAAAGATCGAGGGAGCCAAATATACTAGTTTGGTACAGTAGTAACAAGTAAAGTAGAAATTTGACGCTGTTGCTGTGTGCACAGTTAGAACAAACAACACATGTTGTACTAGGAAACTTGTAACGGAAAGGCAGACCTAAGAGAGCCTGATTTGGTCTGAAATGGCGATTAGTCATACAACATGTTCAGAGACTACGAAATCTGATTATCCATACTGCCATACATTAGTAGCAGTATTGTAGCGCTCACTTCCTCTGAAGCATAGATAGTTTTCAGAGAACTAAACAAACTACAGTGTGTTTCAAAAGTATGTGCACACCCAACATTTTGTTTTTTTGGAAATACCATTGCTTTCTGTAACCTGTGACCTTCACCATTCAATTCCATGTGTGCAGTAACCTACGAACACTTTCT